CAATTATAAATGATTGACAAGTGAAAATGCATTTTTTTTTATTTAAAGAGCTCCAGTGTTCGTTTTGTCAGACAGAGTCAAATGAAAATAACAAATAATATTAAATGAATCAAAGAAGAATAGAAATCACAGGGGCCAAGCATGCTGTGCCAAAACAGAGAGGAAGGAAAAGAGAAAAATAAACGTTTCTCTGGATGCAAAGAGACGGAAGTATCTACAGGGCCTTGTGGGTACGTACCAGGGAAAGCAGGGGTGGTCTGTCCGAGGGGGGTAAAGGGGGTTTGCTGCATAGCCAACTGGTGGAGCTTGGTCAACTGCTGATGGGTTAGGAGGGAAAGTAAAACTAAGAGGTTACTGTTACACAAGTCACACCGACAAATGAAGCCAAACAAAACGAGTGAAGAAACAGTGAGGAGAAGGAGGCCATTACACAGGGTAGTGGGGGACAAAAAGTAAGAAAAAAAATAAAATACAGAGAGAGGATGATCGTCTGTCGAGGAGATATAAACTAAGTATTTTATTTTTCTGTTTTTGTCCTTGTAATTTCCACATACAATTTTTTTTCTGTAAATCTCAGCTGTTCAGCACATCCAACATTACATGCAAAACGTTTTTTTAAATGTACCTCCCCATTTTCCACATGCCGTTATCGTTTGAAATGTACATGAATTACATTGAGAAACCCCTTTGATTTTACATAACTCCTTGGAGCACTCTTCCCCGAACATGGTCGCAGGTCGGCCCTTCCCTGCTGTGTATCGTTTCCATCAGAAAACGACGGAAAGCGGATGCTTGAAAGGCATCTTCTCCTTTTAAGAGGGTTTTAATGATGGCGGAAGAGGGTGTCAAGCCTGTACTTGAGCGATTGTAACGTCACCTACCGCCTCCATAGGCATCAATCACTAGCCAACTTTGAATTAGCGGATCTGACACAAGGTAGCTCTTGAGATGCTCACACGACAAGGACGGATGAAGGCAGATATTAATGGAGATTACATGGTCCATTGGAATTAAAGAGGTGTCTACATCAAAAACGGCTCCCACTGTCTTTGTGATTGTAATTAGCTCTAGAACTTGTTTTTTCAGAGATCAATTGCGTCTTTGCAAAACTACAGATACATGGGGAGTCTGGAACTGTTGGAAGTACAAAAGGAATCGCCTTTAATTAATATAAAAAAAAGCTTGTGTATATATCCAACCTAATGTATGCTATCAGGATATTTGATTAATTAAAAAGACGCCAAAACTTACATCTGGGTGTGGTATGGCATACTGTCCCTGAATTGTATAAGCCTGGAAAGAGGAAAAATATAAGAAATAGCACATTTTAGCATCAAAAGCAATCATAATATCCAGAATGAACACTATAAATCTAAATTATGTACAAACCCTCTTTACTTTAAGCTAATTGCTAACATGGGAATCTTAATATTGACAGTGACCCTGATGATTATTATAACAAAAGATTGAGTTTCCATATTTTAGCAAATAATAGAAAACAATGTGAATATGTACAGAAACACCAGATCCAATGGGTCCTTCTTACCACATCATATTTTTTTTTTAAACTGTCACAAGTGTAACTATTACTATTTAACCCCCCAGATAAATAGACAACACAAACAATGGAACTTCTGCATCTCAGATTGAAACAAAGCACCAGACAGATGTCCAACCTGTGTGAATCTAAAAATGTCTCATTCTACACATTCGTGGACCTATTCGCTAGTTTCCAATTACTCGTCCAGCTTGCTAGGTGATGCAGCAGAAACAACAGATGTAAGTAACTCAACATTATGTTTTTAAGGTCACTTGGAAGCCTGTTTATCAGCACAGCCAATTACAACAGGCCCCTTTTGTAAGGCCTGTTTAAAATCCATTTTGGCAAGACAGTACAAAATATTCAAATTTATGCAAAATATGCAGGCCGTCTCTGTTATGTTGGAAGAGAGTCTTAAAGGTTAAGAATTAAAGGTTAACCAGAGACAGATGGGCATTGCTGGCTACACATGTTTATAAAAGATTCACAGTCTCTCAGCCTTTAAGACTCATGAAAACTTGACTCTATTATGAGGGCAAAACCAGGAATCTGTCCATGTTTCAGAAAGCATACAAAGCATACTGGTTTAATTCAGCATTTTCCCTTTAAATTGTAGTAGCTATCAATGAGGACAATGGTAAATCTATTTTTAGTCCATTCAAACTTGCTGTTTGGAAGAAGGCGATAACACCAGGATTTGTTGGTGAATTAGGGGAAACAGCAACTGGGCTATGATGAGGATCTACAACCTCTGTAAATTAGACATTTTCAATTTCTCCCTGGAGATCAATAAAGTATATTCAATTCAATTCAACTCAATCTTCAAACAGTTGGACGACCATGCACGCCACTAAATGTTACGTTTGATAATTCACTTTCATTTTGTTTCTTTCTAATGTAATTTATTGCTCATTCCACCATTCAATGTAAAAAATACAGAACTTTAACACCCCATTTTCAACAAAGAAAGACAGGCATCCTATATTTTGTCTAATATTCCATTGCATAATATTAGAAAAGCTAGTGCTAAATATAAATATCTAAAATGTTTGGCCACTATGTAACTGGAAAAGCCTTCCAAGGACTCTGTAGGGTTATGATACGTGGCTATGACCAGCATGTTGGCAGTGGATCTTTTGAGTAAAGGGATAAGGCCTCTCTGGACTGGTATTCTTTCAGAGCACAGGGGTATTAGGTGCCTGTTCAAGCTTATAGCCTCTCTGGCACTTTCCTCAAGCTGCTGCTGGCTGGTTTTTGCAATCTGGCTTTATGAGTTGAAATACTCCTATCAAAGTGAGGCAGATGCCATTTTAGGATTTTTTTTTTAATATACAGTATCTAAATCAAGACCTTAGTCCAAATCAGGCCTTGCCCATCCATCCATCCATCCATCCATCCATCCATCCATCCATCCATCCA